ATTTTAATATATAAACTTTTTATCATAATTACATAATAAAAAATAATTATTTTTTATCCCTTATATCATAGGACTTAAATTTAAAATCTTTTATTTCTAACCAAAAAAAAGATAATTATTAAATTATTTAAATTATTGATAATATATAATTTAAATTGTAATACATAAATTTCTTTAAATAATTTTGAAAGCACTATTTCTATTTTTTGAGACCATAAAGCAAAAAAGAAAAAGAAAAAACCTTTATGAAACCAAGAACAAAGGTAAAGATAAAAAGATTTCTAATTTGAAAATTGAAAAAGAGTACACATATTTCTCTGCTATTTCCAAAGCCGATCTTCATCTTTTAGAAATTTGGTAGAATCTTGACCTTCACTTTCTCTCTTTCTCTCTCTCTCTCTCTCTCCATTTCCCCAAAAAGTCTTCGTCTTTGCAGCGATAAATCCTAACCCTAGAGGCACTGCCAAACCACCACCACCACCACCCATGGCACCACCGACCTGGTTGTGGACTCTCTCTGCAGCCACCACAACTCTTCTAACTCTGATCCCCTTGGTGTGTGGCAACTCCGAAGGAGACGCGCTCTACACCTTGAGAAGGAGCTTGACCGATCCGGATAACGTGTTGCAGAGCTGGGATCCGACGCTTGTTAATCCCTGTACCTGGTTTCACATCACCTGCAACCAAGACAACCGCGTTACGAGACTGTATGCAATCTCTCCCCTTCCCTCTCTTTACCTCACGACGATCTGTTGCTTTTTCCCTTGAATTCTCGTGTTTTTTACTTGGGTTGCTTTACTTCTTGTGATGATACTTAGGTTCAATTGGGTTCTTTTACTGAATTTAGCGTCTGTTTTTATTTATACATGTTTTGGGGGAAAAATGATGAATTGATTGGAACTGTTGAATTAGTTTAGCACGTACGATTAAAGTTAATCAATGTTTAGCAATTATTAGAAATAGGGGCCCTAAAATGGCGATAAAGACCCAAAACCATGGTAACTGTTGGGGGGTGGGGGGTGGGATTAGAAATAACTATACCTTTTGAACATGATTTAGTTGCTCTACATATCCCTTATGTGTATTGGGATCATATTTAGCTGTTGAACTTCTCATATATTGTGCTGGTTTTTTTGATGACTTTTGATTGATGAAAAGTGGAAATCAAAATTTCTTGATTTGCTATTTCTTTCTGGGTGTATGGTGAAAATTTAGATTTTCCGAGGGAAACTATGCATGATGGAGTCCTACTTTGGAAACGATTATCCATTAATTGAAATTTTTTGGGTGATTCTGATATCTTAATTTAAATTAAACTATGATCTTTCTTGCAGGGATTTAGGTAACTCAAACCTGTCTGGACATTTGGTACCCGAACTTGGAAAGCTTGAGCATTTGCAGTATTTGTATGTTCTTTAACTTGATCTTCTTTCCATCTTTTGTTTTGATATTTTCTTTCCTGTTAATGTGTGAAGCTCTTGCAAATGTTTGCATGCTCTATTTTGATATATATATATATATAGATTGAAATGCTTGCTTATTAGATATGGAGAGTGCTTGTCTTAAAGTGCTACTCGATATTGGTTATGATTTCTTGTTGATGTTCAGCTATTAAATTGAGAACCTTTACTCTTTCACAATTCAGGGAGCTCTACAAAAATAATATTCAAGGAACTATCCCTGCTGAGCTTGGCAACTTGAGGAACCTTATCAGTTTGGATTTGTATAATAACAACATCTCGGGGACAATTCCTCCATCAATGGGGAAATTGAAGTCACTTGTCTTCTTGTGAGTTTCTTAAAGCATAATTTTTGTAGTCTTTTATTGTTAATTTTTCCAAGTTTGCATTATCTTTTAGGATTGGTTTGAAGAATGAATCAGATAATAGATTTACCTAGAAGTTTGAATTCAGGGTGTAGGAGTAATAACCTGATCAATCTCATGGGATGTCCCTTGGTGCCACTGAGATTAGGTTTCATCCTCCACTGGTTGTTCTCAAGTTTTAGACTGAGTGTCTAGCTTAGTAGCTATTTCTGGCCCTTTCTCACAGCTAACTAATTTATATAGCATGGTGACCTCCGTTTGCTGCTCCATACCTGATCATTGTTTGATTTGACAGGCGACTAAATGACAACCGATTGACTGGGCAAATCCCCAGGGAACTTGTTGGCATTTCCAGCCTCAAAGTTGTGTAAGTTATCTATGGTAAATAAAGTAATGGTATTACTTTCTGCCGTGGTAGTGTTATAGTGATTGAAAATTTGGCTTCTTTCCCCAGGGATGTCTCAAAGAATGATTTGTGTGGAACAATTCCTACCAGTGGACCATTTGAGCACATTCCTCTCAACAAGTAATCTCTTTCTTTCTCTCTTTATCTGCCCCCACTAAATGAATAATTTTCTCTCTTTGGTTAATTTCCAATTGCCATGTAGTTGTTGTTTACCCAGCATAAACATGTTTATGCATAAGTTCAGATTTGTGACACTTAAAAGGACACTTGTATATCTTCTACCTTGCTTATGATGGATTCTAGGATTGGTTTCTTCTTTTTATGTCTTATTTTTTTTTGGTTTATCTTTTGCATTATAAATTACAATTGTTATTATTTTGCTGTAACCAAATTCTGTGTTCTTCTATACATATGAAAGTAAATATGTAATTTTTTTTACTTTAGTATTTTGTTCCATCTGCATCTTTGTCATGAGCTAAGAATCTTTTTGTAGCATACAGTAAACTGCATTGTTTGGACAAGGGCATTGAACAAACCACCCTAGTATATGACATTTGGTACTATTATGTTTTAGAAAACAATGAATTATATTTAGTTGATTTTTTTTCAATAGAAGAGCTATTCGTGGTAATTTTATGCTAGAACCTGGGCTGTTGTGACTGATGGGCATTGTGCAGGTCTTATCTCTTTTTACTCTTTATGGTGCACAATGAAGGATCGAGATTTGTTGCTTTCTGTTCCCTGCTTACTATTATCAATAGCTAATTAATAGTTCTGGTTTGCTGGGGCCAAAGTAACTCTTCTTTATTTTGTTCTGATGTATTATGTAGCTTCGAGAATAACCCGCGACTAGAAGGTCCAGAGTTGCTTGGTCTTGCAAGTTATGACACAAACTGCTCATGAAGAAGAGAACGTCACTGCAATGTCATGGCTTGGATTATGCACTCACCCAAAATTAGAGTGTATTACCTCACAGTATAAACAGGGATTGATCAAAAGCAGTCCCTCATATAAGTGTTTGTAAATCTTAATAGCTGCATGGATGTATTAACATTTATAACTGCATTGCCCCGCTCCTTCAGTAATGTTGGAGACACAAACTTGTTGCTGTAATGCTAGCTAAGATTTTACTTATGGTGTGAATCCTTTGTTTCCCGGCTTGCCTTGTATTGTAGATTCATACTGTTTCGTTAGTTCTCTTGATTCATCTTATACACATCATGAATCACTCTGTTTTGTTGCAGTGATACTTCTTGATTTCTTGTGTTAACAATTAGAAAGTTAAGGGAGGACAGGTGCTCTTTTACCACAAGAGTAATTCTTGATTTTTTTTATTAATATTATTATTTTTTGAGCTGGTGCAATCGGGATACTTTTTAGGAGGAGGCAGGTGGACTCAAAGGGGATTGAACCCCGGTCTGGTGGATATAGGGTGGACAGCCGCAGGGGGCCTCGGGCCCCTACTTAGTTGAAAACCTACCGGTTGAGGGTAATTCATTATCAATTTGTTGTTTTATAATTTCAATTGTAGAGTAAGAATCTTTTAACGAAAAGAGAGACCAAATATTAGGAGCCTTGTTTCTTATTTATGGGGTATTGTTCTACGGTTCAAAGTAGTCTGATTTAAGCATTATTGCTTTATGGTTTAGAACAATTTGACGGTAAAACAATTTTTCCATTCACCATTTTGGGAGGTAGGTTATTTTAATAAGGTTAAACATCAATTTCAGCCTCTCAATTTTAAAATTTTACATAATTTTTATTTTTTAAATTTTTATGCACTTTTTGTCCCTTAATTATGAAAACGTATTTTTTTAATCTTTTCATTAGTTTGTTTATTAAATTTAACTAAATGTATATATTTTTAATTCTTCAACTTAAAATTGAGGGACGAAAAATATGCATATATTAAAAGTTGAGGGACTAAAATGTGTAAATTTAGATAAATTTAATGAACTAACTAATAGAATGACTAAAAAGTGCATTTTTCATATATAAGGGACTAAAAAAGTACATAAAAAATTAGGGGATGAAAATTATGTAAAATCTTAAAGTTAAAGGACCAAATTAGCATTTAAGCTTTTAATTGAGAGATAGGTTTTACAAAAGGTTAAAACCCCATTTTGGTCCCTAAACTATTGTACGAACCCCCGATTTGGTCTCTAAACTCAAAAATCCCTGATTTGGTCCTTACTGTTTACCATTTTTACCCCAATTTGGTCCTTCCGTTAAAAATCTACCCACGTGTTCGTTGACTAACAGAAACCTAATGTACACGTCAAAACATTATGTCCACGTCGAAAGCCAACTAGCAAAAAAACAATGATTTGGCAATAAAAATTTTAAAAATTCTTTCTCCTTCATCTTTCCCTTTCTCTTTCCTCTTCCTTTGCTTGCCTTCTTCATCAATCAATTCTGCTTCTTCATCAATTAGTTCATCATCATCAAACAACACCACAAAAACACAGAAATTTTTTTTTTTAATTTTTTGCCAATGAACCTAGTATCGAGTTCGAATTCTTCTTCATCAATCAATTCATCATCATCAAACAACACCCACAAAAGCACAGAATTTTTTTTTTATTTTTTGCCGAAGAACCCAGTGCCTAGGTTCGACGAACTCGGCACCGGGTTCATCAAGTTCCAAGGAACCCCGAGCCTAGGTTCGATGAACCCAACGTTGGGTTCCAAGGAACCCAAGGCCTAGGTTCATCTGAACCCAAAGCCGGGTTCCAAGGAACCCAGGCTTTGGGTTCCGAACTAGCCCACTCATTCCTTTTAAACAACAACAGCAACCATCTATAATTCTACATTCCGAGTCCAAATCGTGAGAAGCCTCGTCGCACCATCATCCTTATTGCTGCACCGTCGCAGCACTCTCAGTAGTGCCACCACCCTTATCGCACCATCATCCCAATCTTTGCACCTCCATCCATGGTGAAAACCCTCCAGTAAGAACCCAGAAAGCCTTGGGTTCCTTGGAAGCCGACACCTGGGTTCCTTGGAACTCGACGCTGGGTTCGTTCAAACCCAGAGCCTAGGTTCCTTGGAACCCCAAGCCTAGGTTCGATGAACCTATCGTCGGGTTCCATGGAACCCAACGCTTGGGTTCAAGGAACCTCGAGCCTGGGTTCGTCCGAACCCAGAGCTGGGTTCCAAGGAACCCCGAGCCCGGGTTCGATGAACCCAATGTCGGGTTCCAAGGAGCCCAGGCATTGGGTTCGATCAAACCTCTAGGTTCTAGACCCTAAGGGGAAAGAAAAAGGAAGGAGAAGAAAAAAAAGGAAAAGAAAGAACTTTTTAAGTTTTTTTGTTATATTATTATTTGTTTTCATGTCATTATTTTTTGTCATGTTGTCTTCCATGTAAGATAATATTTTTACATGTTATCATTTTATTATAAATTAATGGTACACGTCATGTAATTTTTAACGGAAGGATCAAATTGGGGTAAAAATGGTAAACAATAAGGACCAAATCAGGGATTTTTTGAGTTTAGGAACCAAATCGAAAGGTTCTGTATAATAGTTTAGGAACTAAATGGGGTTTTAACCTTTACAAAACTATATTTATTAACGTTTTTCTGAAAGAAAGTACACGTCATTGTCAGGATGGCCGAGTGGTCTAAGGCGCCAGACTCAAGTTCTGGTCCTCGAAAGAGGGCGTGGGTTCGAATCCCACTTCTGACAGCCTGAAACCCCCCAACACCCTCCTCCCTGTGCCCCTTTTTTTTTGTTGGAGGTGGAGTCCATCCACACCAATATGCCATGATTTGCTTACAATAATTCAGAAGGCCACAAAATACCAGCTTTTGACTTGGAGGAAAAGGCAGAAAAAAGAGAAGTGGGTCTTTTATCAAAGTTATTAAATTCTCTTTTCTTTTGGGGAGGAGTAGGTGGAAGTGGGAGCTACCCAAAAGCCCACATGACGCACATTCAGATACCCATTTTTGACAATATATATTATATAATAATAATAACATTATTCCATTAAAGCAAATCATGCAT